AGCAGTTCATCTAGACAAGTTGAAGGAATACCACACAAATCCGGTCAACTGGGTTTGTTCCTACAAATCCTTTCTGCATAGTCGCTTTCTTATTTGTAAGCGCATTGACCGGTGCTTTGAGTCACCCAGTCCTGAATTTTTCGAGACTGTCCGTCGCCAAACAGCATATCCATTCTGGAGCGATCCACAGCTGATTTTGCGACCGGAATGTGCGCCAGTAATGTACTTCGATTCTGGAAATTTAAACGGGAGCAACAAGGCACAAACTGTGGAGCTAGAGCTAGAATTCGACTCTTCAGAGAGTGATTCAGAGCAAGACGACACTGATGACCAAGAAACTGTCCCTATGGACACCCAAATAGCAGAATTCAGGAAGGCGATGCAGGATGCTATGGAGCTTTTTGAGGACCAGGTGGCCAAGGGGAATGAAAAGTTTGCGGAAAGATTCATAGCATCTAATCAGATGAATCGTACATTGGTGGACGAATCTAAGCACCGTCGTAATATGCCGACAATGTATTTACAGTGAAAATGAGTATGGCTTCGTCAAACGCCATGATACTGACCTTGGTTGCACCTGGTTTGATGGCTGTGACATAGCACGGAGGAGAGCAGATAAAACACCTAGGTATAAAACATATTTTGAGCTGGTAGGTTTGCGCACAGCCTCTGACCTTAGGCCCTGACATTCTATCCCAACTTAATCTGTGCATCCGCCACTTTTTAACTCTCCCGCACTATCTGTTAGCAGCGACTTTGCTCTCTCGCATACATTTGGCGGTACCGTTCCCAATGAGGCGCCCTATCGTCTTTATATTCATTCCACTGTCTAATGAATGTACCTGCAGCGTCGTTGATTTCTTGCCTAGCCCAGCCAAAGTATTGCCAATCATTCAAGTAACGGTTTGCTTCCCGCACTCTTTGTTTATGATTTGCCTCCAGTTCATTGAATTTCTCGTTTAGCGCTATCCCGACGTTGTAGTTGAATGTATCCTCCGCTTGACGAAGACAATATTCCCGCTGCGCGTTCCACTGATGCCAGTTAGGTTGTGGTTGAATGTTCTCCTGCTGATGCTGGTTAGGCTGCGGTTGGGCTTGATTATTGGCCGGCTGGCGATTTCCATCTCCTATTCGTTTGTTTTCTATGGCCTGTTTAGTTGAGAGGCGCCATGTCTCGTATACGTGTATCGCCTTTTCTTTCTGTTCAATTGTCAAGCCATCTATTGGACAACCATAGCTTAAGGAGAACTTAGTTAGACTTTGTTTAGTAGAAAGCGTCGAGCTATATTCAGACTCACTTAGACACTGAAACCATAAGGTTAAAGATAGGATCAGGGACGAGTGGCTGCCTCCTATCTTTGAGATGAAGGCAAGTATAGACTGGGTATATTGGTTCTGGGCGGACGCATTGGTCCCAGACTTTCCGAGCATACCCACTGAGGACATGAGCTGGGGTATCACTAATTTCGTCGTTAACCCATTCGCAGTTTGCATCCGTGGCATTTGGTCTCAATCCAACATAATCGTCGGGAACTTGGACCTCGCTGTCCGTGTGACGTAGTCCAAGCCAGTGGCCAAACTCGTGGGGCAATGTACTCTCAACATTCACAGCTCTTTCATGAACCACTTCCCCAATAGTGCCAGAGCTAATGACTATGCCGTCTTCTGCTGCCAATTTTTTCCAATCGTCATAACGCACGATGTTTTCTGAAGCAAGGGAAGAAGTCCCAAGATTGCCTTGCATGCTGAACCGCCATTCTTGATTGTTTTCCCGATTCTCCCAGTACTCATGACTGTCTTCATAGCGATAGACAAAGACAATGTTAAGCGAAGTGTAGTCGATCGGACCTCGACGGAAGTTCGCAATTATCTCAGCCCTAGAATATCTTAGGAAATCCGTGTCGGCATTAAAAAGGTCCGGACGCACATGGCGATAGATTTGATCAACTGAGGTATCGAATTCGAAAGCAAAGGACCAGTACTTTCTCATTTCATTTATTTTACGTTCGATGTGATTGTCCTGGTTTATGTAAGTACATGTTCTTCATACACGGTATTAATAGTTGAAGCACGCAAAGCCATACAGTAATATAGCCGCCCGCTGCGGTGTAGTCTTTGGCCAGAACGGTTATATAGGTCGGAATAGAATGACGCCGAACGCTTTGACGCTTTGTGATATTGTGCTTCAACGGTATGGTCTCACTTATTTCTGCGGGTTCCTGACTACTGAGACTTGAGATATCGCACTGTATAATATTATTTACAATATTAATCGTCTGGTTGGTAATATTATCCGTCTCACTAGTACTATTATTCGTTTGGCTGGTAGCATTATCTGTCTCGCTGGTAATATTTGGCGAGTAGCTGGCAACATTCAGCGAGTGGTTGGTAAAATTTGGCGTGTGGCCAACAATAGTTGCCGTGTCCCCAATGATATCGAGAACCGGAAGCTCCTGGCTAGGCCTGAAGCCACCGCACTTGGGTTTACGCTTGGTCACATTGGCTGCGTCGAGTGCTTGAGCACAAGCAGCCGAGATAAGTAGACTCTTTACTACTAAGCGTAACTGAGGAATCATTGCAGCCAGCCGGAATCGATCGACGTTATAGGCAGCCCGATAAGGGAATGAGGGTATAAGCGAGTGGCTAAGCAAACGAGTAAATAAGGAGTGTGGTAGTATAGGCGAGAAAGGAGAGGCCGGCGAGTACGGAAAAAGAGTGAAATAATAGTAAGGAAGAAATGCTAGTGGAATAAGGCTCGCCTACACGGGGAGAGGAGTTTTTTGATTTAATAGTAGCGCTCTCGCAACTTAGGACTTTCCCTTTGCCATATATACACCCATAGAGCTAGATAGCATAGCGCTGTCTCCCTGTGTAAGCAAAGCTGAGGTAGTTAGCATTTATTGCCGTGCATAAGCGTCTATATTGGGGGGGGGGGGGGGGGGGGCGCAGTCTCCATTTGGCGTTTGCATAAAGGGGCAACCAAAAGGAGACTCGCAAGATACGAGTATGTACGTATATACAATATAACCCCTGAACATTATCACGAAAATACCTGACATGGGTAGGTTAAACCAATTAAATATTAAGTGGCCCGTATTAAATTACACATAAATGCATAAATAATTAGGTAAATGTTATATTAGAAAAAGTCCCTTTTAGTAAAGCCTAAGTCCCTGACCTGTACCCGCCTATCAGGCCTAGTAGGCCTAGAATATTACACCTGTTAAATAATACAAATTACTAGAGGAAACGGGGCCAAGTATCTTTTTGACAATAATTCAGGGGTTGCATTATAGAGTAGATTGTTTTATTATGCTACTACTAATAAAGTCCCCCCCTGCACGTCGTTGTTTATGCTTAATCTTCAGTTATACGATCAACAAAAGGCTCAACCTAATATTAGCAGGTAGTAACTGCTATTAAATGTTGTAATTGTGCTTCAGCCTAGGCAGGAATAAATATCTCGAGTTAATGCGCGCTCCTTGACTCACAAGAATAAGAAGGCGGGAGAAGTTGCAGATGCTATCAGGTACGACTATTGATTGTGTTACTAGTGGGTCCTGGTGATGAGCTAGCCTTTTTTTTTTTTTTTTTACAATAATTTAATGCGCTGGTGCTGTAATTAAAATTTAGGCTCTACGCGCGTGCTATTCCTTGCAAACATGACTAGCCAGCCAAGAAGCATGACTAGCCAGCCAATAAAGTTAATTGCTGAAAAGCCGAGGAAGGGGAAAGTTGGATTGATATTGGTGACTTTTGCTTGTTTGCTATTTAAGAACATCAATTGATGTCCTTCTACAAGCGCTTGTACCTGTTACCGGCCAAAGCTCGGGTGGACAGACACGTCGAATATAGCACTACGTAATGGGTGAAGACCCATATCAGAGTTTGAACGAGGCACTGGGCTTACACGACGTTTAACATGGCAACTGCAAATTACATGGCATTCTCCAACATGTACTCCATAGGTATTAATGGAGACGTTGAGGCGCCCGGCTGTTTTAACAGGTCATACATCACGAAATCGTCTGCGGCCAACTCGACAGCCGGTAATGGACGTTCCATGTCCCGCAGGCTGAATTCCCCTGCGACTTTAGAACATACTCGTCCACCCATGTGGATATTGAACACAGCAGTTGCCGCCATCTGGCAATAGACTCACAAGTTGTGACAAGGGTTCAGTTATGAAGGCTTGGAGCGATGAAGGGCTCAATTCAATAATAATCTCGTAGGATGTCAAAGGTCCTGAGTTGCTACAAGGAAGGAAGAGA